ACTGATTCATTGTAATGTTTCCAGGTTTCGTTATTTTTTTCACAGTTTCTTTATTAAATTCTGTTTTTTCTAATACAACCTTTGTCAATAATTTGATGTGTAATAATAGTAGTACTACATAAGACAAAGAAATAAGAAGAAGTTCTGTCATTTGCCATGTCCAGGAATGACAGTTACTCTTAACCTATCATTCAACAGTTGGCCGGCACACGTGGCCGTTGTAAACTTTTTTAACTGTCTTTCTCTTATGTGTTAAAGTATAATAATTTATTAAGTTTGGTCTTATATACCATGCAATTTTTATATGTGTTAAATATTTTAAAATTTGACTCAATCAATGAGTGGTGCGTAAAATTGTCACCTGTAAGTGAAACATCCACGAAAGACGAACCTCACTAACGTAAGTTTTTTCTCGTTTTTTTAAAACCATTTTCTACAACTAATTTCGAGGATGCTTTACTAACAGTCGCACTTTATTTTTAGTTTTTCCTGATGATGATAAACATTTTCGAAAGCTTGAAACTTAGTTAAAAGAGTACACTTATTTCACCGCTGAATAAATCCCAATAAACCTCAAAGCTCCGTTTTCTAACGTTGTCAGCAAAGACTTCTTTTCCTATACACATATATATATATATATATATATATATATATATATATATATATATACATATATATATATATATATATATATATATATATATATATATATATATATATAAGTATATATATACATATATATATACATATATATATATATATATATATATATATATATATATATATATATATATATGATTTCAGATGTTTTCCGGTTTGGACTCCGCGTTAAATAGTTTTGAATTTTAGAAAAACCATTGTTTTGACGACGTTTCGGCAAGGTCACACTTGCCATTGTCAAGTTAGATTAGTTCTGCTTCGTTCAGTTCTCCTGAAACATCAAGACAAAGCAGAACTAATCTGACTTGACAATGGCAAGTGTGACCTTGCCGAAACGTCGTCAAAATAATGGTTTTTCTAAAAACCAAAACTATTTAACGCGGAGTCAAACCCGGAAAACATCTGAAATCACGTATAGCTCCCGCGGAAATTTCAAATCCAATATATATATATATATACACACAACGCAAAAGTCTAAGGATATTTTAATAATTTGACAATACCAATGACAGAAATTGTATGACCATATAAATTTGCTTGTACTATAATTGTTGATACAGAACACTCACTTCTTATCAAAAAAAAAATTTTAAACTGTACACACAATACGTGTTTTAGAATGTTTTTTATAAGGGACAAAAAAATCGACATTTTTATGTTTTGTTGTTTTTTAATTTTAGTCACTTTATACCATTCTTGGTTAAAAAGTAAGTTAAAAATATTGTATTTTACCATACAACGACAACATTTAACGTTGGACGAGATGAATAGAGCCGTGGGCCTCCTTCAAGCTGGTATGCGACAAAATCAAGTTGCTGACCAGCTGGGTGTCTCGCAAAGCGTCGTAAGTCATTTGTGGCGTCGGTATAAAGACACTGGGAGTCCAGACGAGCAACATCCAGGACGTGGTCGCTCTACAACCGTCGCTCAAGACCGATATTTAATTTTAAATGCCAGAAGGCAGCCAACAATCCCAGCACCCGAGCTGGTTAATGAATTACAACTTGCACATAATGTAACAATTAGCAGCAGTACTGTGAGAAATCGTCTCCATGAAGCCAATCTTCGTAGTCGGCGACCACTGAGATGTCCACCTCTATCTAGAGGCAATCGCGCTGTAAGATTAACCTGGTGTCAAGAGTTTCTGAATTGGACTGACCATGACTGGGCCACAGTTTTGTTTAGTGACGAGTCTAGGTGTGGATTTCGTCCAGATTGTCGTCGGACACGAGTTTGGAGACGACCCGGAAATGGAAAACGATTACGACATCTTCAAGAAGTGTATGCATACAGAGGTGGTACATTAATGGTATGGGGCGGAATCATGATTAACGGAAGAACTGACCTCATTTTCCCACGTGGCTTTCTCACAAGTCAGCAATATTTGGACACTGTTCTTGAACCTGTTGTGCGCCCCTTTGCTGCTGCTGTTGGAGAAAATTTTTACTTTATGCATGATAACGCTCGACCACACGTTGCGCATATTGTAACAAACTGGTTGGATAACGAGGGTATTGATGTATTGCCGTGGCCAGCACAATCACCGGACTTGAATCCCATTGAGCATGTATGGGACATGCTCCAATGAAGAGTTACTCCACATATGGGTAATATCTACAATGAGTTTCAATTAAAAGAGCTTCTGAGAGAACAATGGGCACAACTACCTCAAGCAGACATTAACAATGTGATTCGGAGCATGAACAGTAGATATAGAGCTGTGATAAACCAACGTGGTGGCCATACTTTATTTAAAGTTTATATTTCGTATTTTTGACATTTTATGGTGGTATGTGAAACATGCGTGATTTGCAATTATTTTTTTTTTTGTTCCAATTTTCTGTTTTTTGCAATTTATGGTTTTTGACATAATAAACAACAATTTAAACTACAAATTTTGTATTAATTTTGTTAAGTTTATTACAGATGAAGAAAATACGTCTATTTATAAAAATATCCCTAGACTTTTGCGTTGTGTGTATATATATATATATATATATATATAATATATATATATATATATATATATATATATATATATATCTAAGTCAGTGAACGGGATCGATAATTACACATCAAAGGTTGAATTTCTGGTGGAGTAGTCATGATTGGGTCCTGTTAGAAAAACATGTAGGTATTTACCAATTAAGAAAATAGTTTCTAGAATATACGAAGAGGGAAGAGTAAAAATCCCGTGATATTTGAAGTAGCTTCTACAATGTGTTATTCTTCTGAGTCCAAGAAGATACCGTATTGCTCTTTTTTGTAATTTAAAAATAACATTAGATTGGGCAGCTGTACTAGAACCGCAAAAAGGAAGGCCATATCGAAGATGAGACTCGAACAAAGAAAAATATGTTATTGGAAGATGCTAAATTGATTTCCTCTAAAACAGATCTTATTGCATAGCAGGCTGAGACTAGTTTATTACTTAACAAATTGATATAATGGAAACAATTAAAGTTGTTGTCTGTAAAAATACCATGAAAATTTAAAAAATCAACGATACTGATTCGGCTATTATTAAGAAGCAAGGGTTGAAGAGCTCCTTTATAGGATAATGCTACTGTCTTATTCACGTTAAAAGATAGTAAATCAGAGTCGGACCAGGTATTTATTTTAAATTGATCAGAAGTTATAATTGCATGAAGAGTTGCAATATTAGAGTTCCTCAAGGTAATACTGGTATCATCAGCAGAAAGAAAAATTCATCGCTGCTAGACATGTCTTCAACGGTTTTATTTCTAAAACATACTCTTAATTAGATAATCACAATCCTTGTTTTTATAAATTAAACTAAAAACTCACTTTTTATAAATATTACGTGGAACATATGAAAAAGTATTATCACCAAGTAACAACTCTAGTTTCAGTTTCTGATGCTGTAATGGTGCTCGAAGATGCGTTTTCTGTATCTATATTTTCCTTGTTGTCTTCATTGTCATTTAAACATCTAGAATATTCAATTTATGTACATTAAAGAAGAGTATTAAAATTGGTTTAAGATTGAAATAATCTCATACAAAATATAGCCAAAACTCACCTCCTTTGTAATAGTTTAGGAGAATTAGATTTTACATTAAAGCCCAAGTCTGTCTCCATATTACATTCTTCAGTATCAATAAAACTTCTAAAATATTTTAATATTAAAATAAAATAAGTAATCAAAATCCACATTTAGATTTTATTTGTAAATTTAATAAACAAATTCGATACAAACCCACCCTTTGAAGGTCCATAAAAATCATCCTTATCAATACTACTGGAAGCTGTTGCTTTATTTTCCATATCGTTTGTAGAACTAAAACATTGAATTATTAAACAAAAAAGAAAAAATACATGTTATCAATATTATGGAATATGCTACGAGTATGCATTATATTTGGTTAAATTTAATTTTCGTACAATGAACATAACCTATAGATATGTATATATTTAATTGAAATTAATATATTTGTAGCAATTATAGTGTAGATTAGAAAAAATAAATAGATGTATTTATAATACTACAAAATTAAACTTCAATTCATGTCAAGCATTAAGTATTATCACATCCCTGTACTACGCCTATGGACAAAATTCCGATGTTTACAATACTTACGAATGAAATGACAGTTCTGGATGTAAATATGAAGTTTTTCTGCATACAACACAGTTACGCACCATTATTACACTTAACTATCAACTATTCTTCACTTCTAATTTAAAATATATTAACAAATTCACTAAAATGTCACAAATAAGAAAATTATCAACTCAAAGGTAAACAATACAACGCCATGTTCTTTTTCGTCAAATCGCTAGGATTGGTTGATATTACCAATGATGCCAAGTTTTACAAAAGTTAAGATTATCAGAATATATTTTCTTTTAATAAATTAAAAAATTAATTTTTTTCTTTTAATTCCTTGGTTGCGAAATGAGTATATCTAAAAATAGTTTATACTAATTAGATAATACATTTTTACTTATAGATTAAAAATAAATTACACTAAAAATCGAAAATTATTTCGAAGATTGACTCGGAAAAAAAAATAATATGACAACGTCAAATTAGGGATTTGTGCCTATGACTGTGAATATCTCATGACTTCTAAGTATAGATGTAAACAGACCGGTCCATCTTTATTTATACGTCCATGGAAAAATATAATTCAAATTGCTCAACAACTAGAGAAAAAATACCCTATATTCCATATGAGGCAAACGTCTGCAGAAAGAATAAACAGTAGATTATTATAGAACTGTTGGATTTTGTTATTTATTATTTGTTTCGTAAACATAATATTAGTACACTTTTTGCATGTGTTTCAGTTAATTTTGTTCCAATTATGTTCTAGGTGTTGTAAGTGTTTGGGCTCAAAATCAAGTAGAAAATTGGTCAGCGTTCGCTCCAGATTTCAAAGAATTAGATGAAAATGTTGAATATGAAGAACGAGAAGGTGAATTTGACATAGAAGATGAGGATAAATCAGTGGCAAGTGGGGGTGATGACAAGGAAGATACGGATTTAGAGGTACATTTTTTCTGTAACTACTTTTTGGAATCGGGATTAAAAGGAATAAAAATAATAATAGAAAACTATGGTCCGTCAATGATATTAACGACAAATATAAAAATCTATTGATATTCATTTATATTGTGAAATAAACTCACAATTGCATTTTGAACTTCATTATAAAGCAATAAATATGAGAGTTAAAAAAAGTGCAAGACGAGTGCGACGGGTAACTCTTTTAGACGTCAGACTCACTAAAAAATCAGGTTTAATTAAAATAAAAATATATATGGAACAAATAAATAACAAAATAAAGTTATATTCAAGACAATAAAAATCAACTACCAATCCTACTGTTTAATACCTGCAAAAAATAAAATATAATTAATGTCATAAAATTGAAACTGCAATTACGGTGTGCTAATACACTCGCAGCTAAGAAATGAAAGGACAGGTCAGAGAAATAGAGATGGAACGGGCCAATCAACACTCGGTCCGGTGAGTAGCGGAAAGCGACTAATTAATACTTAACCACGGGAAAGAATAGGTCTGTCTCAGATCAATGCTCCCAGACCGGATACGGAACTGTCACTGGATTAAGATTCTAGCAGAAGCGGGCCTTCAGTCAATACCGTAGGGACAGTGGAGTTGTTGTTGTAGAACACAACAATTCGGCAAAATTTGGAAAAGAAATTCCAAAAAGACAAGTCTTACTTTAAACTCTACAAAGATTTCATTAACGAATACATCACACTAAAGCATTGTAAAATCATTTCAATGTATCTACACACTTCACTAAGTGAGTCCAAATATTTCTTACCGCACCATGCAATAGGCCGAGAGCATGCTACGATCACGAAACTACGAATAGTGTTCGATGGTTTTAGCAAAACATCTTTCATTATCTTTAAACGGCATCATGTTAAAAGACTGCCAAGTGCAACCAGATTTATACAGACATGTTCTGACAACAGACATCGAAAAGATCTACAGGCAAATCACAATCAATCCATCCTAGCATCCTATGGTATTAACAGCTCTCGTTTCCTTGGCACTAGATTATTAGCAGAAATTGCTGCCAAAAATAAAACTAACTTTCCTCTAGCTTGTATGGCCACTGTAACCCAATTCTAAATGGTCGACAAATTAGCAGGCACAGGCTCGGTCTCAGAACAAGAGCAGCTGCAAAGGCAGTTGAGTTTACTACTCCAATCTCATGGATTTCAACTGTATACGTGGCGCTCTAACACACCTGAGGAAAAAACGGTTGAAAGTTCTTCCAAACATTTAGTCCAATTCGGAAACAATTCAGGCAAGGTATTACTTCTAAACTGCGATTCCTGCCAAGATAAGCTGTGCATTTCCATCCCGAACTTCTCCATCGATTAAACCCCTACCAAAAGAAACAGTCGGTCCATCATCTCAATGTTTTCATCCCGTAAGGCTACTAACTGCAGTTAAGGTATTAAGTAAATTAATGAAAACTGTGGATTCAAAACTCGACTGGAATACTGCCATCACAGACAAAACTCTTCTAGTTGAATGGTCTGAGTTTATCGGTTATCTGCACCCTTTGCCCAACTTAAAAATTCCTAGGTTCTTGTTCAATTGCCATCCAATCGAAAAACTTGAAATCCATGAATTTGCAGACGCGGGTCAGAAACATACGCTGCATGCGTATACATCCGAGCCTTCGATCACGACAAATCCATCTCGGTAAGATTGATATCTTCCAAATCCCCAGTTGTACCACTAAAAACAGTTTCATTGCCACGATTGGAGCTGTGTGCCATGGTGCTGTTATTCTAAGCTACTTGACATCCACTTATCCCTTGGTGCGCTTCCTCACATCATAAATTATGATTTATGGTGGCAAGGCAAAAATTTCTTGCAAGATATAAAACCAAATATTTCGTACTTCGAAAAACCTAAACAGGTACTCGAAGTGCCAGAGGAACAAAAAGTGACTTTAGTCACACTGCACCAGGTGTAAAGGAAAAATTTTGCAACAAAATTTTTCTAAATCCAAACGTTTCCACATTTTCCCGTCTACAATGCACCATCGCATATGTGCTTAGATTTATTCGCAATGCTTCGCATCCAACAGAGAGATACAGTGGAGAGCTATCAGTCGAAGAGCTAAATATTCCTTCCCAAAGTTTCTTCCCAGTTTCTCCAAGAAATGGAGAAATTTGCTTCTTTAACTCCCAGTTTCAAAAGGAACTAAAATCCTTAACTAAAAATCTTTCAATCAAAGATCGAAATATCCTAAATCTAAATCCATTTATTTACAATAACATCATCATACGAGTTGGTGGAAGGTTAGAGAATGCTTTAATTGCATTCAATAAAAAACACCCAATCTTGCTACCATCTCACAACCAAATAATTTTTGTTTGTGACATAGATGAAACTGACATAGACTACAAGAAAGAAGTGTAGATGATACTCAAACAAGAGCATATCCGACTAGGCCGTGATGTAGCCCCAACAGTGTTATCAAATTTCAGGCTCAAATGTTGGCCACTAAACGGTCTGCGAGAGACAAAAACTCTCATACGAAATTGTGTCAACTGTTATCGGTTTCATGCCCGAACCAGTCAACATACAATTTCTGATATTCCTGAGCACCGTGAAAGCCTCTCCCATGCATTCGAAAACGTGGGTGTAAATTGTTAACCCGTTTTTGATCAAATCTTCTATTTTGAAAAAAACTCATATACTTAAGTCCTACCTATAAGTCATATTCGTCTGTATAAGTAACAAAGCTTTTCACATTGAACTTGTCACCGATCCTTCGACCGAAAGCTTAATCGTAGCACTAAAAACATTTATCTCACGGCGAGCTAAACCCTCACACATATATAGTGATAACAAGTCACATTTCTCCGGTGCAAATAATCAGTTGAAGGAATTGCACGAATTCTTTAAAAAAAATTTAACCGCATTATTATTTATTTTTTATATTTTAACAAATTCAATAAATTATTATGTTTAATACTAACGCCACCTGTTAACGTATTAGCAAATCGTACGTTGTTTACTTATGAAAAGTCCGTGAAATTCACACCAAATATTAATAATAAAATATAAATAAATATTATTTGATAGTAAATTTTATTATATAAACTATATAATGTGTAAAAATAATAATTGTATTTTATATAAAATTATTTTAAAAGGAGAATATAAAAATTTAAGCAGATGATTTAATATTGTTATTAATCGGATCACATTTATTTATGACTTTTAATTGTTTACTATTGTTGCGAATCGAATCGTTTATTGACAAATATTCTTTTAATATTTAATGTCTGTATTTTATTAGTTATTTTTTATGCAGTGTTTAATTTAAACCTGCTTAGAGTAAATATATGATGACTAGAAACGAATTGATCAAGAGTAGTGAATCGATGAGAAGAACTGCTATTTTGTGACGCTACCAGTGACAACGCCATCTTGTGGTTCTAGTTCCGTGACGACGATATCTTTAAAGCTAGTTTCGTGACTCTCGCCTCAGCATTTTACTATAGAGAAAAAAAAGCAGTTTAACGTCAGTATAGAAGCTTCGCTTTAAAAAAGTTAACTATTGAACTGAGTTTATAAGTCTAATTTATTAACTTTATTTATTATAAAAATGTTCTAACGGTTTATTAGAGTCTTTATTAATTTATTACAGTCTTACACTTATCACTAAAAACTAGAACACAACTACTTTAATTTATATAAACTCTTACAATACATTACAATAGTCTATTTACACTATTTACCGATTCTAATTTATGTACTACATTTCCGCGTTACAATAATTCAAATTCGATACATTATATTCAGACTAAAAAACTAACTGTTAACAAATAAATATATATATATTTATATATATATATATATATATATATATATATATATATATATATATATATATATATATATATATATATATATATATATATATATATCAAACAGCCGTTATCCCAAAGCTCCGTAAAATTGAACTCTCTCGAACAGCATGGAAAGAAGACAGGTTTTTACCGTAGAGGAACCTACTGGAAAGTACTAGTTAAAAAAGGTGTTTACAGTTTAGATGTGAGTCATTATTTATCGTAACACTATCACACTTTATAAAAAGACAAAATAAAATGGAAAAATCACAGAGATTGGCTGTATATCGTAGTTTAAAAAAACTTACAGAGAAGTAAAGACTTGTGTATAATAGTATATTTTATTAAAATATTTAAAATTTATCCAAATGTATAACAATTCTTCAAAACGTTTTCGATCCAGTCGGACCATCATTAGTGAAACATTTTAGTAGTTGAAACCAGCTACGAAAAAAGATGTAAAACCTTTGAATTAGATGATAATATTGGTTAATTTTAATAATATGTATAATGACACAATGTCGTTGTTATAGGATTTCACATAAAGTGAACATATATCTTTCCTGTTCGAAAGGAGGACGACTTTGTAAAAAACTTGAAACCAACCAACTGATCATACCATCATACTGAAAAGACTAACAAAGTTTAATTTTTATCCAATCAAGCAGGCTTTAGACCAGAGCCCACATAGACCATACCAATACTGTGCGTAATAATGGAACAATCGGTCGAATATAAAACCCGTATACCTGATTTTTACCGATTTCGACCGTTTTGACAGCTTATCACATGCTGCTATATGGAAATGAGGTATGAGCTATACGCCGAGGTGAAATGCAGCGTGACACACAATGGGATCAATAGTGACGAATTTAACGGTTTTTTTCAATATAACTATAGATTACGTTCTCTCCAAATTAGACTCCAACACAAGAGACGTACCATGAACATTATCCACATGCCTAAGTGATCTACCGATGATATCTGCTCTTAGAGTAAATGGTCCAAGATGTGACTGACAGTTTTAGTAATAGTTACCGCGTCATATCATAATGTGACTGTTAAAAAATGTCCCACATCAGCTTCGAAAAAGACGTTATGAGAAAATGATTAACAAAAAGATATATTTTTCGAGGG